TCTGGACAGGCTGGACCAATGGGCCGAGGCCAACTGTATGAGATTCAACAAGGCCAAGTGCCAGGTCCTGCACTTGTGTCACAACAACCCCATGCAACGCTACAGGCTTGGGGAAGAGTGGCTGGAAAGCTGCCTGGCCAAAAAGGACCTGGGGGTGTTGGTTGACAGCCGGTTGAACATGAGCCAGCAGTGTGCCCAGGTGGCCAAGAAGGCCAACAGTATCCTGGCTTGTATCAGGAATAGTGTGGCCAGCAGGAAAAGGAATGTGATTGTTCCCCTGTACTCAGCACTGGTGAGGCCTCACCTGGAACACTGTGTCCAGTTTGGGGCCACTCAATACAAGAAAGACATTGAGGTGCTGGAGCATAATGTGATTGTTCCCCTGTACTCAGCACTGGTGAGGCCTCACCTGGAACACTGTGTCCAGTTTGGGGCCACTCAATACAAGAAAGACATTGAGGTGCTGGAGCATGTCCAAAAAAAGGGTAACAAAGCTGGTGAAGAGTCTAGAGAACAAGTCTTATGAGGAGTGGCTGAGGGAACTGGGGTTGTTTAGTCTGGAGAAAAGGAGGCTGAGGGGAGACCTTATCGCTCTGTACCACTACCTGAAAGGAGGTTGTAGTGAGGTGGCTATTGGTCTCTTCTCTCAAGTAGTCAGCGATAGGATGAGAGGAAATGGGCTCAAGCTGCGTCAGGGGAGGTTTAGATTGGATATTAGGAAAAATTTCTTCTCAGAAAGAGTAGTCAAGCATTGGAACAGGCTGCCCAGAGAGGTGGTGGAGTCATCGTCCCTGGAAGTGTTCAAAAAACAGGTAGATGTGGCATTTGGGGACATGGTTTAGTGGGCACGGTGGTGTTGGGTTGATGGTTGGACTGATGATCTTAGAGGTCCTTTCCCATCTTAATGATTCCTAGTTTTTACTTTCATTATAAATAATGCAGCCACCAAGCCAGGAAACACGAAATTGCTACTCTACCCTGAATTAGTTTAGTGGTGGACTTGGTAGTGTTAGGTTAATGGTTGGACTGGATGATCTTAAAGGTCTTTTCCAACCTAAACGATTCTATGATTCTATAACTGTATTTACTATCAACCATAACTCCAAACCAAAATAAATTTTGCTTTTGCAATATAAAAAGTGAAGAAAGTCAAATAGAGCAATTACTATTTTTCTAAGATGGCTCTTCCCCCCAGTTTTTTTGCAGAATTTACTTCTGGCTTTCTAGCTTATTTTTTAATTATGTGTATTTTAGACAAGATACACTAAGCTTTATTTTTATATGTGAACATAAAGTGCATAACTAAAATATGCATACTTAGGTCTGGATTACAGCTAAGGAGGGAGGGAAAGCATAATTAGTTAAATAACTGGTTAATGAAATTAAGAAATAGCCTTTTTACAAATAGTTGAAAAGGAGAGTTGATAAATTTTAACTATGACATTTTTCCTCCAAAATTGAGAGGAAGTAGAATTAGGTGCTAATACATAAGTAATTACTATCTCAAGCCAAATATTTTATATTTGCAGTGACTTGCAAGTCAGAAAATTAAACTCTGAACAGTGCTTCTGTATCATTGACGGCCTATTGAAAGCGTAACAAGTTAACTGAGTATATTTTATCATTTGTCCTCTATTCTGAGTTGCAACAACTTCATGTGCTTACATACAAACTGTAATGACTATATTCTTAATATTTCGACAAGCCACAGTTATCAACAGATACCTCATTCATAGAAAAAAGCTCCCTTTAGGTCATTCCTGAAGTTTAAAAATACCTGTAAAACTAGTCAAAGGTTATGTATTCAATATCCTTGAATACCACAATCAAGGTTTAGGACATTTAAATTATTATTAGATTTGAATTTTATCTTTCTCTACTGGAATTTTCACAGGCAGAGCTCATTAAAAATATTTTTTCTCATAAAAATGGCAGAAAAGGTAGATTATTTTTCACTTTAAAAGTAAGATATCAGACTACCAAGTAAAAGGTGCTGAAATAAAACAGATTGCATTCTGTCATATTCTTTAACTGTTGAAACAATACGTGACACTAGTATCATCTCCTAAATTATAGCCCTATCAGTTCACACTTCTTCAGCTTTCATAATTTTGCAGGCTTGTATCTATGACATTGATTATTCTAAGTCCTGCACTGATACTCTAGGCAAAAAATAAGGAAGTCTGCTGCAGGCAGGGGTGTTGGTATAAAATTAAGTTTTAATTTCCAGTGCTAACTTATTTCACTATAGTTTCTCCAAGTGGGCAAGGCAAGGGCATTTTTTGAGTAGAAGGTCTGAGTACAAGTTAATTTACTAATGAAAATTTCCAAACACATCCTCAACTAGTGTGCAATGGAGGTTACCAATCTCATTTGTTTCTTTTTTTTTTAGTAACTGCATAAACATAGATTATACTTAAGAGTGAAAATGAACAGTGAGAACTCTCACTGTCCCCAAGCAATAAAGAAGAACAGGCTCTCAACTAACATGATCTCTTTAGAGGTTTGTAACTTTAATTATTTGTGATTTTACCAGGCAAAGAATCTCATGGGCTGTACGGGTCCATCTGAACTGTCTCGTGAAAATCAATTCTTTCAACTTCAGTTGTGCATATTTGCATATGTGCTCCATTTAAACAGTGCTGGCACACTCAGTTTATTCCTTCCTCCTCCTTCTCAGTTAGCATTATTGCCATTATGCTACATTATATCTTCGTGTCGTGGTAGAAACCATACCTTCAACTTCAGACAGTGGTGCTGAAAAATCTAGACGAGTACTGCCCAAACCTTGCCAGAGGCATACCGCAGACGGGCTGCATGGCACTGAGAAGCTGCCAACTACAGGGTAACGTCTCTGTTCAAAACCAGGTACAACCTGTGGACCATTTACCATGGTACCACAGAAGGATTCAGAGGCCATAAGCATAGCTCAAACTATTGGTATAATGCATATTCCTCCCTTAATTTTTTGCTATTATTCAGCTTGCTTCTTTCAAGTCCAACATTTTGATTATCACTTAGCTCATGTGGATCTCCACATTCTTGTTTAAATCCTACACAGTAATGTATTGCAGCCGAGTCCCAAGAGAATGACGACCCACAGGTTTTTTGTTCTTGAAGGCCAGAGAGGCCCTAACCCAAAAACTCCACACAGCATGTTATTCATAGAGTGCAAGTAAAAATTCACGCATCTCAAAGGTGTCAGAACAAGGCATTTCAGGTTTAAAGAACAAAGCCTAACATGAAATATAAATTTAAAAAATTAATCTTGTCCCAGAAAATCTCAGATCACCAATATCTCAATGTGCATTAATGAAATCCAAATTTCATTAATCCAAGCTTATAATGGGCTGGAGGAGCAGACAGTGAGGTGGATTGAAAACTGGCTGAATGGTCAGGCCCAGAGAGTGATGATGAGTGGTGCAGTGTCTAGTTGGAGGATAGTAACTAGCAGTGTACCCCACAGGTCAATACTGGATCCAGTCCTGTTCAATATTTTCATTAATAAGCTGGATGATGGGGCACAGTGCACCCTCAGCAAGTCTGCTGATGACACCAAACTGGGAGGAATGGCTGATACGCCAGAGAGTTGTGCTGCCATCCAGAGGGACCTCAACAGGTTGGAGAAATGGGCTGACAGGAACCTCATGCAGTTCAACAAGGGAAAGGAAGTGCTGGCACACTCAGTTTATTCCTTCCTTCCTCCTCCTCAGTTAGCATTATTGCCATTATGCTACATTATATCTTCGTGTCATGGCAGAAACCATACCTTCAACTTCAGACAGTGCTGCTGAAAAATCTAGATGCATATTGCCCAAACCTTGCCAGAGGCATACCGCAGACGGGCTGCATGGCACTGAGAAGCTGCCAACTACAGAGTAGCTTCTCTGCAAAGTCCTGCACCTGGGGAGGAACAACCCCAGCCACCAGTACATGCTGGGGGCCACCTAGCTAGAAAACAGCTTGGCAGAAGAGGCCTCAGGGGTCCTCGTGAACACCAGGCTGAACATGAGCCAGCCATGGGCCCTTGCTGCAATGAAGGCTAATGGCATCCTTGGCTGCACTAGCCAAAGTATTATCAGCAGGGCAGGGGGGGGGGTCACTCCCCTCTACCCAGCACTGGTGAGGCCACACCTGGAGTACTGTGTCCAGTGCTGGGCTTCCCAGTACAAGAGAGACATGGACATACTGGAGGAGAGTCGAAGGAAGGGCCATGAAGATGATGAAGGGACTGGAGCATCTCTCCTCTGAGGAAAGGCTCAAAGAGCTGGGACTGTTCAGCCGGGAGAACAGAAGGATCAGGGGGCATCTTACCCATGTACAAAATTACCTGAAGGAAGGATGCAAAGAGGATGGAGCCAGGCTCTTTTCAGTAGTGCCCAGTGACAGGACCAGAGGCAACGGGCACAAAGTGAAACCAAGTATCACGAAACACTTTTTCACTGTGAAGGTGACCAAGCACTGGCACAGGTTGCCCAGAGAGGTTGTGGAGTCTCTATCCTTGGAGATATCCAAAAGCCACCTGGACATGGTCCTGGGCAGCTGGCTGTGGGTGGGCTTGCTTGAGCAGGGCAAGGTGGACCAGATGCAATATAATAACATAAGTATTTTTGATGCTGTAGCTGATATAACTCAACAGAACAAATTTCCAAAATACATACCTCTAAATGCACTAATATCCCCATAGTGTACCTGGAGCACAAAAAATCTGCCACCCGTTTCTCCTCCAACTCTGAATCCAACACCTAAGAAAAGGAAAATGCATTGTTTTCAGAAACATTAAACTGTAAGTTGGTTCACCACTGCTGACCTTATCTAAAAATACAAATCACTGTATTCACTTAGAGTGAAAGGCTAGAAAATTTCACTGAGACACCAGTGAAGAAAACATTGTCCTGAAAACTGGGAAAACCACCATCACAACACATGTTCCCAAACCGACTAAGAAGCTAGGACCGTAACTTAGTTATTCATGAACTTAGGCAGAGAATTCTCTCAACCCAAGAATACAAATACAGATTTGAGAGACAGAGAGAGATACACAACTGTATAAAAAAAAAAACAACCCAGATTCTGCCACCCTTGTAGGATTTCGTAGAACTTTCACTTCTCATACAACCTGTGAATGATACAGACTGATTAACACTGACTTACTAAGGACATGCTGAGAATGAAAAGATAAAAAGATCTGCAGTAAAATATTTTGAGGTGTAAATTAATATTGTATGCAGAAAAAATCTTGTGGAAATTATGAAGCTATGTTACTTGTTGACAGAAGTAAGCACAGACACAGAAGAAAATGGAGGGATTTGAAATAATTTGAAATAATGAAATTACAAAATATCACCATCATCAAAGGGATTTCTCCAAACTGATTCTACAATGAACACTCTTCAGCAGAAGCAGAGAAAGCAGTTTCTTCCTAATCAGCCAGTGAATCCCACCAGATTAAACACTGACCATGGCAAAGCCGACTTATAAATGGGACTGTAGCCCCTCTGTGCACAAATGTAATATCATTATGAACCACCCCCACAAACCTTGTATTTATAGACAGCTTAGAGACAAGAAAATTATTACTAGCTGGTGTTTAACAGCAAAGCAAATACCAGGGTTCCACAGAATCCTCCAAACAACTCTTTTTTTAACTTGACATTTTGATAACACAATCAAATAATATTCATGCTGATCAGTGTGTAAACGGATGATTAAAAATAAGCTTCTTCATGATACTGTGCACTGCTCCTGTTTATGAGAAGAGGCAGTGAAAGATAAGAGAAAAAATTTTTAGAATTCAAGGTATTTTCAGACTGAGGCTATATAGATGGTAGCTATTTCTAGGACCCTTAGTGGTTACTAGAAAGAACCACTTCTTAGTTATAACCCTGTCTTCCAGACAGCATTCAGCAGCCTAAAAATTTTTGATTGAATTAATCAAAGTAATCTATCATACAAAAAAATGGGTACATAAACATGTTGCTCAACTGCATCAAAGCATCAAGAAATGAAAAGCACATAAAATTGTCCAGTACACTTAAGAGACAGAAAAAATTCAATGCTTAGATTGAACTTGTTTGTGCTTTTCCAAACACACAAAAATATTTTAATGCAGTTTATGTGCTACTCAAAGATATATAAATAGTACCCTTCCAATAATATATAGTTGGAAATGCAAGATTAATGCTAGATAAAAAGAAAGCATTATATTACGACTGTTCTCTCTCCCTTAGCCTTTTTGCCCCCTAGTGAAACCCATGTTACAGTAAACAGGATGACAAAAAACCCCAAGTATACTAGCTAGCATAATACATTCATGGTTTATGAGGTTGATGTTTATACAGTTTCCATCCACTAGACATAATAAAAATATTATAGGAGGTTCCTAGATATCGCAGGTGCTTACTTCCACATCCTCTTCTCTCCTTTGCCCCTGCACACAAGAACTTCACATTAAAGGCACAATACCTTTGGGTAGCCTGGTGGGTGGAGCATTTCTTGCCCAAGCATATAAAATGTTAGATTTGTCTTTGCATGTTCCTTCATCACAGTCCCTAAAAACATAAGGAAAGAAAACAAAAAGTAATATAATTTTTTAACTTTGAAATCAGAAGAGGGCAGGTGCATTACATGCAAAACCACTAACTTTAAGATCTATTAAGATGTTTTTGGATGTGTTTTGATTAAACACAGTTTTTTAAGGTAGACTGCTTTCCCAGATATCATTAGATCCTCCATCTTCTTTTTTTTTTCCTCCTTCTGCCTTAAGATGGTGTTAGGCAAACAGGGTCAAAACCATAGACAGTTCTGATAGTCCCTGCCAGCCTAGTAGCCTGTGATGAAAACAAATAAAGGAACCTTTTGTGAGCATTAAAATTTCTAGCACTATTAGCTCAACTGCCATGAAATGACAATGGCTGCCACATTTACACAGGGGGACAGGACTCATGTGCAAAGCAGAAAAGACCCCACAGACATCAAATTTAAGTCAAAATTGATATTTAAAATTCATTTAAAAATCATTGACAAAAAAAGGTAACAAGAAGCTGTATATGAACCAACAGGTATGAGGTACTCATGCTCTTCCCTGTACTTAACACAAGATCACTGCTTTAACTTAATTTTTATTCCACTGCATAATTTCTTATTTTTTCATAAACAGAAAAATCACACATACCAAAAAAAACCCCAACCCCAAAGAAAAAAAAAAAGAAAAAAGAACTGTTTGTCAAGTTACAGACCACAGACAGGTCACAAATACTTACAATAACTGAGAGCTCTAGAGCTGTGCCTAGCCTCTGCTGCTAACACCTCCCAGGTGACAGAAGGGTGAACTGGGAGAGACTCCCAGGGACTGTTAAGCTCTAGATACCTTGAATCTGCAAGGACTGATAAACTCAGGGCACAGACACTACTGCATCTGTAAAAGGCCGATCAGACACAGTCGTACAGACTACACAATGTACCTGGACCGCATCTAAGAGGGTGCTGACTGCTATATGTGGGTGTAGGCTACAAGATGATATACATGGATCAACAAAACAAGGGACGCTGAGCAGCTTTCCAAACACCCACCTGAAGCCAATTCTCCTTCTCAATCTTCTGTTAGGGGAAAGGGTTATTTACAGGGTGTGTTTGTACCTTCTTCAGTGGCAAAGCATTGCGGCACTGAGCGCTGTGTATAGAAGTCATTCCACAGGTACAACATACACAGGCATGACTTTTAGGAAAACTCAACCTGAAACTATCCAGACTACAGGATAGTGCCTGGGCCTGTTGCTTGTGCCAGACGGCAGCGGGGACGGCAAATGTCTTCGGTGTGAGCAGGTGGATGAGCAATGAAGGTTAATTCCTATGCCAAGGTTTCCATCCAAAACAAAATGGTACAGCCCCTTCTCCGTTTATTACTGCTGGTAAAATGAGACCTGTGAAAATGTTTGTATGCATAAAGGACGGTTTCAGTCACCTTAAATACTGGGGAAAATAGAGTCTCACACAGTGTGAGGAAGAGTATAAAAGCATAAAAGACCAAGACTTTTAGTGGATGCAGGCTCAGTAACATTTCTGTTGAGGATGCCCAAGCCATATGTGCCACCTCTCAGAACAAATGACAATGATGCTTTCCAGGCTGCTCTCCCTGGGATAACCAGTTCTTCCAGCACATAGGGAAAACTACCTCAGCGGGACATTACACGTTTCTGTGCTCCCAGAGAGCCTTACTGCAACATAGCTGCTGCATTTTCTTCTGACAGAAAGCATTGCCATAACCATCAGACTACCAAGAGAAAAGGGAACATGCCACTTCTTCCTTTTCATTAATTTTGCTCATAAGACATATTTCTACAGCTGTGCAGCTTTCAACTGCTACAATCTAAAAAAACCCAAAAAACTTCAGGTATCTAACCAGGTATTGAGCTGCAGAGTTTGGAAATGTGTTGAAGAGATTGGTTAGGAGGAAGAACAGCAGAAACCACAAACACAGCTGCAATTTCACCACCACGCGCTGGGCCATCTAGCCTTTGTTTATACCACAGTATTTTTCAGGACCACAGTAGCTAGGTAAAAAAAAAATACATAGGCTGTTCCAAACTCTCCTCCTGAGACACTGGCTGATGGAGGGGGAAGACTGCAAGGGAGAAATTAAAAATACACACATTGCTCTTTCATTGTCCTTAAAAAATGGTCAACCTTCTCATTTAGCCCTCAATGCTGATCTTGAAACATCAAGTTTTCAGAAAGAAACAAACTCAGAGGATATTACAAAGAAGAGTTAAGATAACTGGTGAACAGATTTAAAAGCAGGAAGCTAGGTAAAAAGTATAAATTCACAAACAAATAAAAAAAACCCAATCACTGAAATTTATAGCTTCTTTACATGAAAAAAATCATGAGATTCTGAACAGAATGAGTAGCACAATAAAAATGGACTACAACGCATACTATATAGTATTGTACTAATGACTAATTTTGACTGTGGTCAAAATTGGGGGGGGGGTGGGGTGGGTAGGGGAGGGCGTGGAAATAAAGCTTACTGACTGCTTCTCGGGTCTTTGCTTTTTGCAATATCTCCTGGACTTTACAAATGCATTATCCTCAATCTTCAGTAAGCTCAATAGCTGGGTTTTTTACTGGCACTGGGTTTTTGACTGATTACCTAGACTGAAAATATTTCACTATGTCAGCAAGACCAGTATTTGGCTATCCTTTTAGGATATTTGCATTGTTTAGGAAAACAAAGAACTTTTTTTATTTCTTTCTCTATTATACTCTACTCCTTGATTCTAACCAAGAATTGTAAAAAAAATATAATTCATGTGATTGAATAAGAAAAATGATCATTTTTAGTTCTTGAGCTGAATGGTGCACAACACTCTGGGTCAGTGACAACAGTAAGAAACTACACTCAGAAATATAAATCTTTATGCTGTTCCCACTTTCCCCTAAGCAGTGAAATACAAGTATTTCATTGAACCAGTCTTGACATATTTTGCAATCTTTATTGAACTACTGATGTCAAAAGCTTCCAAAACCATGATCTCCTGCTAACAGAAGCAGCTAGTCTGATGGGAGAATTTACTGGGTAGTGACCTGTACTTACACATTTGTTTAGGTAGATAACTGTTTAAAGTTATCCCACCTGATCTCTAAATAAAGGTTATGTCTATGAATCGTCTCATTCATGGGAGCTCATTTCAGTGTTAGGTTTGACGCAGCACAAGACCTGTCTTGCCAGGAGACTCAGAAGTTCTGAAAAATTCAACCTTTTCTTTTAAGTCATTCAAGTGTATTCTTGATTACCTATTGAGAATCTGAACTTTTGATGAATCAGCTCAGGCATGCTACTTCAATTTCAGCATAGTTTATCAGCTCAGGCAAAACTTGTTATAGTGGCTGAACTGTTTTTAAGGCTAATTATGATCAAAAAACAGAAGCAGCTACACCTTTTTTTGGTGCACTGAGCAAAACCTGAGCAAATGAGCCCTAGGGGGCCTACTTTATTTCTATGTAAAGGCCTGGGTATTTCAAGAAGGGAGAAACACCTGTGCATCCCTTTAGCATTTGTTCAGATAAAGATTCTACCATGTTGCAGTGAATGTGTCACTCTGCAGAGCTAGCACAGGTCCCACACTGTTAGCCTTTCAGAAAGCCAGGGGTATTTGCATGAATAGCATTAAGTCATCAGAAAAGCCAGCTGGCCAGTGGCATCGCAGATTTTGGCTCAGCGCTGCTATGGCCACAGGGCAGCTAACTCAAACAGAGTTATTTGGATGCTGTATCTTCCCCTCTCCCATTCCTGCACACTCAAAACTGGGCTGAATAAAACTTCATGCCTCAGGGAAATGAATTTTGTCCTTGTATTCTGAATGCTCCTAAATGACTATTTCTCCATAATACACCTATTCCACATCATTATGGTATGAAAAATAGCTCTTGATATGTTTTAATGCTCTTACAACAGATTACAAACCTTCTGAATAATAGTGCCCAGAATTTTCATGAATAACTACAATAAAGCAAAAAGTCAATGTGGTATGCCTTAATTGAATAAAAACTGGCTATGTAAAAATGTTGACCATGTAAACAATAAGGGAAGGATCCTTGCTAAACAAGTCTGACGGTCATGTCCTCAAACATCAGTTCTTAGCCATTCTTATCCCTAGTAGATAGAAGAGCAAGTGAAGTCATCACTTACTAATCTGCAGGTAACAAAAAGAATAACAAATAACAAAATAAAATAAAAAATAACAAACACGTCTCATCATTAATACACAGTCATCAGAATTACTTTAACAAAATTAACAAAGTTCTAGTGGTTGGAAGCCTCTAGCACATTTAAACTAGTAGGAAAACACCTGTTTTTAAATTACCCATACTCTCTGCAATGACTTACAAAAATGTGCAACAGTTTCTACACATCTGAACATTTAAATGAACATATTTACAACACAGATATTTGTAGATATACACATATATATGTATACACACATATGTATACACACACACATAAATATACATACTACATCAATTATATATACATGCACGGATACATAGCAAACAGGCATTTATACAAGCTTATGTAATAAGTGTGTCAAATGGGCATAAATGCAGATGACTAAATCCTGTTTTATGTAAAACAGCTGTGATCATCTTTCTAGCCTTGCAGTTAGCAATGGGCAGAGCAAGATGAAATGTGGCAAACTGTTGCAACAACAGGGGTATGACATGATGAGACATCGAACAAAGAGTTTTTATTTTGAGAATGTAAAGCAAATACTACACCTCAGAAACTACACACAAAAATTAGCAAGACTTTTCATCAAAAGCTGCATATGAAAAACTGGAAATATCAGATTTAAATACAAGACTAATTACGTGTTTCATCATTTGACACGTACCTGTTAAGTACAGCAATCAAGAACAAAAGCAACATTCGCTGCCACACTGCACAGACTGCCACCGGTGAGTTTTCTGCTGGGCAATCGTTATTCTCTGAGAAGAGTGATGATACAGCCAGGGAGCTGAAACTACCTGAAGCCTAGTCTCAAGCCTAGGATTTGAGTCTGATTCAGCTTTGGAGAACTTTATGACTTCCCAGCTTTTGATCCATCTCTTCATATCTGAAAGCTCAGGAGCTAAACACTTCACCTATGTCTTCAGAACATCAGCTAGATGTGACTTAGGCATCATCCTGTGACTTCATCTCAATGCAAGCACCTATCAATCTATAACAATATAATTCTATCATTTATGGATTATTTCAAGGCTCTAATGAAACTACTTCCAGGCATATGAAACCAAAACAAACTACAAGTACAATCTACTCAGTTTTAAATAGGACACTCAAGATGTAAACTGGTTTTAAAAGGCCACAATGGGAACAGTTTTATGTTGGTATAATTTTCACTTAAACTAGTCAAAAACTATATTCTAACATAAAAGATACAATAAAAAGAACAGAGAAAGCTGTCTGCTGGGAAAAGAAATCAATAGAAATTCTATGCTTTCATAGTTTTACTTTTGTCTGCACTTCTTAAGCATCTGCTTTTCTTGCAAGACAAGATTATAACATTTTCAGTATAAGAACTGTTGGCTGACAGGTAGAAGGGAGATAAAACTTTTGACGAAAGTTTGTTGTATGTTCAAAATATTAATCGAATCATCTCCCAAAACCATGCAGAGATTATTTGAAATGCTAAACTCATGTTTTTTGAAAATACATTATCCTGTACTATTAGGTCTAAATTCCAGCTCTAGTTACCTTTTTGGTAAATACTTAAAAGATAAATTGTGATTACACAACTCTATCAGAAAATCTGTATTAAAATTGTTCCACAGATCAGAAACAAGTCATGTAAACTTTGCAGTGTCAGCAAAACTACCTTATCTATTCTATCCTGAAAACCTGGAGAAAACCAGGCTTCTGTCTGGAGAAAACCTGCAAAATTACTGGACAGACCATTAATTTCCACCCACCTTCACATTCTCTTCACTTTGGCTCCCCACACCTGTTTTAGTGGCATTGAGAGCTTCCCTCTGCCCTCACTGCTTGGGCATTTTGAAGGGAAAGTCAACTACCAAACCACTTGACTGAGAGAATCTTCTTCAGCTTACCCTTCACTCAGTTTCCTTCTGGACACCTGATACAGTACTTCATATGCAGAAAAGCAGCCAACTATAGAGGAAACCTACATTTCTTGGTATCCAATGGCACCCTGCCCACTATAGCTCCTATCTCCTCCTCAGAGACAGATAACTAATTGTGAAGAATCAGAAAACAGATCTTTTTCTCCACCTTACAGAGGAGTTAGTTACAAAAGCAAGTTGCAACTCTTACCAGTAATTTTCAGAAGAAGAGGGTTCATTACATCCAAAGAGTAACATATGATGGACAGTGTCCATGCTGGCATGAGGCTTAAAGTCAACTGAAAAACAAAATGAGAAAACAAATAAGCTATCCTTACTCTGACCATACGTTACATAAGGAAGAGCATTTTGTGCCATTTTTTCTCTGTAATACTAGAAACAAGGCATGTATGTCCCCACTCATTTATTTACCTTCTGCATTCCACTTACAAGCTTTCCTTAAGTTCCCATTCAACAGTCTGTCTCCCAAGCTAAAACACTGTACTCCGCTTAGTCATTAAGAAAAAGAAATTGCAAGTTCCCATTCAAAACTGCTGCATTTTTCCCCAAAAGTTAAATATGACACTTAGTAACACATCAGTGTATCCCAAACCACATAATTTTAGTCTAATTTCAATCTAGCTTTGAAACTTGCACGTGTGACTTTAGTAACACTTTTCTACTTCTTTTGTACTTCTTCATCAAAAATACAGATAGTAAGTTACAGATAAGAGCAACTAACATCTTATGCATTAGTTGAAGTGATATCTTCTTCCAGTACTCCATGTGGTCTACATTTTTATTGCATCTTTCTTGGGACAACAGTTCCAAGAAGGGGTTATGATGCATTCTCACTAATATGTCAAGCCCTTTGGAATGGAAAACAAGATTGTTTAAAGTCAACACAATCTCATTGCCCAAATATTTCTGATTATTAGAAACTTAGGCTAAGGTGCAAGTTCAGCACTCAAATGTCTGTTCTTTATTCCATGCCACAAACAAAACACTGCTTTTGTTTCTCAAACATTCATGATCATGTTCGGTATAGGAAGAAGGTTACCAACATCACACTTTAGTAATATTGACCATGAATGTACATTGATGGCATTTCTAGAAATAAAGCAAGCTACATTGCGTAACTTCCTTTATTACTACTGAAATGATGTGTCAGATGCAGGGAATGCAATGGAATTTTTCTTCACCTAAGACAGAGAAGGACCTTGGAGGGTTTTTAACCTTATTCTACAGCAGAAATTCGAAAACCAAGTCACTCCTGCCCTTACATGCACATAGACACTAAGGAGCCTTCAAGTGTCTTTTAGCTCTTGTAAGAGTCTTAAGATGAGCAGATGGTGAAGCTGCAAACCACTGAAACATTATTCTGCTCCTGAAGTTTGCAGATTTATCTGCACTCTGAACTCAGTATTTTAATATGTGGCTGAAGCAGAGTTCCTGAAGTGAATGATGATGTGGAGTATTATCCCAGTTTCATGAGGGAAAAAAAATTAATCAACTAGTTTCTAACCCTATTTTTGGAGCTGAGGTCTGTTGTGAAAAGTGAGGAAAGCCAGCCAAAAGTTAAGGTACGAAAGTCAAATTCTAGCTTGAAGACATGAGGCATGCAGTCAGTTTGTAAGGAAACGAGCACGCTAGCCAAGGGCTTGGTTTGAGAAGTAAGAGATGCACCCACATGCCCTGGGAAGGTACTTCGAGTACTACATATGAATTCAGAAATGCTAAACTTGCCAGCATGATTAAAGTCCAAAGACTACATAACATCTTTTTTTCCTACAGGCAAAATCTACTCATTCCATAACTAAAAACCTAATCTGCACTAGAGAAAGACCTTTTGTTTCAACATTTTTATCAGTAACAATTAGTAGTTAAATTACGGCTAACTCTCACAGGGGACAGACTGTGCCATTTTATGTGTCATCCTACCATAATTTTCAGTTGTTTCAGGTGTTTTAAGCTGCTGTTACCAATTCAGGTGAGAGATTAAATTTCTGAAGGCGTTTATAAGCAATTCACAGATGTGAAATTTAATGAACTTTACTGTTGAACTTGATACCTGTACAGAACGTACTGTAAGTCACGCCTAGAAGGACAGCCTTCAACAAAGGTAAAATTAAAGGTTAGGCCTCTTGTCTGCTAAAGCCACCACCTGTCCTGCTGGTTAATACTGTCTCACTATTTCTTTTTACTCCTCTACTGTGCTCGCATCTTGTGTATTTACTCTAATGAGTCTGTCAGGAAGTCTTTTATTCCCTCTGCACGGTGCCCATCACAATGACATTCTAGTGCATGAACGGGACCTTTAAGCACTATTATGAGGCTTATTACAATAGCTTACTAAATACTGCTCTTACTAATAGAAAATAATGCCCCACAGTTAACAAAGCAAAATCAGATTTCTGCGTGAGCCACTTGCATACACTATTTTAGTTCACATATCTCATCATTGCTTCTGAAGGAAGAGTTGAAAAACCTCTCAGTGTGCCTGTGAGCTGAAGAGAGCTTTGTACAGTCAGTTACTCTGTTTCTGTATAGCTGTTTGCTTAGCAGCACACCCAGGCTTATACCAGTCTTCCAAACAGAAGGTCAAAAAAAAGCCATTTAAAAAATCCTATGTTGTAAAAGCCATACAAATTAGCATGAGATTCAAGTCACTACCAAAGGCTTAAGAAATATAAAAAAAAAAGCCTTATATTCCTAGTTGACAGCTTCCACATTTTACAGTAATGAGCAGAAGATTACTCAATAGTTAAATATTTTTTATGCATGGAGAAGTGCTACAGAATTATTATTAAAATAACAGAAACAGTTTTGGTATAAATACTAAATCTGAATAAAGTCTCTTACTTTCCTGACCAAGTACTGCTCTAAATTATGAACTCCAGCTGAAAAAGGAATTAAGAGAACATGACATCAATTTAATTTTAACAGTATCTACTTAAGCTCTGTATTTAAATAATTCATTTCTAAGAAGTTCACCTTTACAAATTACAATTCAATGATACAAAGTTGGTGTCCTTTTTTTTTTGCTGTCTTCTCTATAATGGAATTAACTTTAAAGAAATTTATCAACATATCAGTGTCCACAGTTTGGCAGATTAGGGAGACATGAGGGGCCTGCAATACAGTGAAGTCATCATTACTTGGCAATAGGGAAATCTATATATGCTATAGTAGAGTAACAAACCCCCAGTGTCTCAGGGTCACGTATGGACAAAAAGTAATAAATCATCTAATTATTTCAATTTATGTTGCTGAACATAATAGGCTCCATCTCACTCCTACAGCACAATCTGACAGACAGGGACTTGCCATGAGTCAGTAAGAAAAAGACACATTTATTTACTCGTCGCCCATGTGAATGAATGTAAGGAGGTGAAGATGACAGTCACATTTCTTGGCTGAGTGGCTTGCTGTCAGACTCAATTCTTATGAGTGTCTGTAGAGCACCCTTTAGCTATCGCTATAGCTTAGTAGTCAAAAACGGACTTTTATCAATGCCTGCACCATTAAAGACTCGATCTAGTTTCTGGTTTGGCTAGTTATTCATAAACATTAATCAAACATGAGGCGCAAGAAGAAAACTGCAACATGTTTTTCAAATGTAACTGGAATGACACTTTCTTGAAAAATTACATATTAATCTCACTCATTGATATCTTTTACATATTAATCTCACAGCCATTTCATGTCAAAGGAGCAAAAGGTATGTTCCTAAAATTAACCTAAATGTAAACCAAGCAGCTCCATGAACAAACAAGCATTCCCCATACCCCGATTTGTCAGTATTCACAGCCCTTCGGGACAGAAAGACAACTGGTTCAAACAGCCTGGACAGCCTGATCCTCCATGAAAGAATATCATACACGAAACTAACAGCATGTGCAAAAACAGACAGATGTACCCCTGAAAAAGACCTCTAGGGCATAACTTGCTCTACTCCTAGCTGGCAACATTTCGCAAGTAAATTTGATCAGCTCCTTCTTTTGATAATGTCTGAGAACTGACTCTGAAGAAGTTGGTAAATCCTGGTACAGTATCCTTCCAGCTTTGCAGTACGAAGTTGTACCCTCTGTCGCTGTGCAAGCATGACTGTCTACTGGTTTTAAATCTTCAGGGGAATAGCAAAGCTGAAGTCTGAATTCAAAGTCCTCACATACAAATTTAATAAAAAATACTGAAAAAGGTTACAGAAAATATTCTCCACTTACTAACAAATGCAGTACTGCCCACAGACAACACTAAAAAAGAAGTTCCCTCTTCCAAGGCCCTTTTATTTCACCAATATGCAACAAAACTATCCTGTTGCATGTTCTATAAACAGAAACTCCTCTTCTACACTGTCTTGGAGGAGGGAGGAAAAGGGGGTAAAAATAGGAAAACAAAGTAAAAAAGTAATAAACAAGTGATTCTTGGTCAAAGTGTAAGGACGCTTGATCATAAAAGTGTCCTTTTAAAGTGCCAAAGAAAAAAAAAACCTACAGAAAAGAGAGGGCATTTAATTGGCAGCATCATGTGCAAATAAATTGAACTGGAGGCAGAACATGTAAGTTCTAGTCTCAGTTTTACCACTGCACTGTCTCAGAAACCCAGGTTATTGTTTTAATCCTGTGTATTCACACCTCCTCATGTTGAAGCTCTTCACACACTGTCTTCTCAATATATCACTGAACAGCAATCCAGGGTGACAGTTCATGTGTTAGGTTTTAGATGCTTTTATCACAAAGTAAAACAGTAATTAATGAAAGTTAATTATACGATTTATTTGCAATGCAATGAATGTAGAGTCTGCTTAAACCATGTAAGTGTAGACACTATCCTTTTAAAAAGAAGTATTTCATTCTCTGTGTGTCAATCTTCTATGCTTATTTTAGCAACACAAAATACATGCACAAAACTAAGTTCATAATTAGCTTCACAACACTTAATGGTATCAAGAAATATTTAAGGAAAAACTCCACTAAGCATCTCATTTCTTAGATGATGATACCTATTGTAAAAATCTCTTTCCTGACAAGAAGATTTAATTTGCTATTCAGGATTTTATAAGATAGGTCAGTTTGCATTCTTACTATTCTCTACAACTGGATATGCTTGAGTCAAGTCTTTCCAATGATTAGGTAACTTCTGTTGATTGTGAAGATTCCAACCTGACAAATCTTTTCCACTGAAAACATCTTCCAGTGACTTTACTGAGGCAAGATGGAACTGCTCACATGCTTAAGACTGACCACATGCCTATCCATTCTGGTGGAAGGCAAAGAAAGACAAAGAAAAGCAAGCA